TATTCTTAGTGTTTCAAGAAAAGTAAAATAAAAATAAACCTAACTGTAACCTGAAAACTAAACCAAGACTTATTCCTAGCCCTAGCTCAGGCCCTGACCGCTAGCACTAACCCTAATGCTAAAAAAGAGAGAGAGAAAAATCAAACATTAGGCAAATCTGCTGCAAAAGACCTCTTTAAAGTGTAAAAGAACAATGATGTCACTTTTGAGAACTAAGGTGCACCTGACTCAAGCCATAGTATTTTCTATCACCTCATTGTTGTTGTTGTTGTTGTTGTTAAGTGCCATTGAGTCGATTATGACCTATAGCAACCTATATAGAGTTCCTGAGAAGCAGCTGGTGAACTTGAACCGCTGACCTTTGCTGTCCAGCGCATTAACCCACAGCAACACACCAGGACTCTGATCACCTCATACGCATGTGAAAATTGGACAATGAATAAGGAAGACCACAGAACAATCACTACATTTGAATTATGATGGTGATGAAGAATATTGAAAGTACCATGGCTGCCAAAAGAACAAACATATCTGTCTTGGAAGAAGCACAGCAGAATGTTCCTTGGATGCAAGGATGGCGAGATTTCTCTAATTTTTTGAACACGTTGTCATGAGGGCCAGTCCCTGGAGGAGGACATAATGCTTGGAAAAGTAGCGGGTCAGCGAAAAAAGGGAAGACTGTTAAGGAGATGATTAACACAATGGCAGCAACTAACTGAGCATATCATCACCTTTATTGAGATACATCAACAATTGTGAGGATGGCACAGGACCGGGCAGTGTTTCATTCTGTTGTACACAGGGTTGCTATGAACTGGAACCAACTCGATGGTACCTAACAATAAAAGCAACAGAAATCCCGAATGGGTGTCATGTATCTTACTTACAATTTTAGTAAACTATCCACTACCCTTCACATTTGCAGAAAGCATCAAGAGAAGATGGAAGGAATACACAGAGTCACTGTACCAAAAGGAAATGGTTAGTGCTCAACCATTTCAAGAGATAGCATATGATCAAGAGCCAATGATACTGAAGGAGGAAGTCCAAGGTGCATTGAAGGAATTGGCAAAGAACAAGGCACCAAGAACTGATGGAATAAAAATTGAAATCTTCCAAGAAAGTGATGCGGCACAGGAGGCACTCACTCATCTCTACCAAGAAATTTAGAAGACAACTACATTGGAAGAGATCCATATTTGTGCCTATTCCACCCAATGGAATGCGGAAATCATCGGACAATCTCTTTGATATCCCATGAGAGTAAAGTTTTACTAAAAGTAATACAGAAACGGTTGTAAGCATACATTGACAGAGAACTTCCAGAGGTTCAAGCTGGATTCAGAAGAGGCCGTGGAATAAGGGATATCAATGCTAATGTCCAATGGATCTTGGCTGAAAGCAGAGAATATCAGAAAGATGTTTACCTGTGCTTTCTTGACTATGCAAAGGCTTTCGATTGTGTGGCTCATGACAGGCTATGGACAACATTGAGAAACATGAGTAATCCGGAACACTTAAATTGTGCTCATGAGGAATCTGTACAT